CATGTCAGAAGTTTTTTGGCTCAACTTAGGATTTATCGAAAATATAATGCATCACAATTAAAAACCCCATTATCGATAGATACAATTATTTGTTGGTATAAAGATAATCTCATGCTTCACATGAACTAAAGCATTTCGAAAGGTGTTAGTTCTTCAGAACTATTAGCAACAACGTACTGTGGGAGAGAACGAACTGGATCCCAGCGGAGCAAGAAATCAGGAAGAAGCGCTGGAAGTGGATAGGACACACATTGAGGAAAGCGCCCAACTGCGTTACAAGACAAGCCCTCACATGGAATCCTGAAGGTCAAAGGAAAAGAGGAAGACCAAAGAACACACTACGCCGGGAAATGGAGATAGACATGAGAAAAATGAACAAGAATTGGATGGAACTAGAAAAGAAGTCCCAGGACAGAGTGGGTTGGAGAATGCTGGTCAGCGGCCTATGCTCCATTGAGAGTAACAGGCGTAAGTAAGTAAGTAGTTCTTCAGAAGCCTCCTTCGAGTCTGTATTGCTTTAAGGTCTTTCGAAGCCTTTCTGTCATACCATGGTGGTATCGGGAAACCACGGTACCAATACATGATACTTCATCCAAACTTCTACATAAATCATTTCGCCTTATTGTGTGCCGGTTTGTGATAGATAGTTAGGTTTAGAGTTAAGCATATATTTCTTTTAATTAAGCGAACATAAAATTGACGGGTAACCGTGTCCATCTTCATTCTTGTAAGTTAATTTCATGTGTGGTGAGAGTGCGCTTATCAATTAAAAAGTTCTAAAGGACTTTCTTCTCATAATAGAGCATCATCCATATTTTTAAGTAACATTCACAGTTCAATGAAATTAGCTTATGTTCTAGGTCAAAATGTGTCGGTTTTGTGACAAAGCGCAAAACGTAGATTGCTATCAGATCACAAACTCGGAGTTGCAGACTCCAACCACCTGATGTATGGTGCAGTGAGGTCTTAAATGACGGTACAGCAATTATCCCTATTTCAAATGGAGTTATGAATCACATCAAAGTTGTCAGCAATACAACCTAGAAAATGATATATTCCTCCCGCATTCACTGAATCATGTGTAAACGTCATTACAAAACTACTTATACTACATCTATCATTTGCGTGCCTCCTCCCATGATGTGCATGAATGCACGCGGAATTGACATGAAATCTGACGCTTGACGGACATTTGCTGGGGTAGTTTGTCAGCAAAAATCTTTTTTGGGATACCTTTGGTTGTTTTGCCTCCAACGATATTGCGACTTTAAATATATTACACTAACAAACCATTTTTTGTTGTAATCGATACCTCACTCGCAAACTACCTGAAATTTGGAAGTTGGCTCACATCACACCAATTTTCAAAGGGGGTTGACGCAGCGAACCTTGAGCTACTGATCGGTGGCTCTTCTCTCTATACCTTCAAAAATTATGGAGTCCGTGTGTGCAACGGTATACATGACTATTTATCATCCTTAAACTTATTTTCACCCCAAGAGTATGGTTTCGGGAAGTGTCATTCTTGTATAACCAACCTGCTGACTGCGGTGGACAGATGGACAACCATCCTTGATCGCAAGCTTAAGAGTGACGTCATTTATTTTGACTTCTCAAAAGCTTTTGATAGGGTCAACCACATATGTCTTATCAAAAAGCTCAGGCGATTGGGTATCAGACCACCTCTAATTGATTGGCTCACTTCATGTCTAAAAAATCGACATTTTAAGGTCAGGGTTAACTTCACTCTCTCTCAGGCTATGGAATGTACAAGTGGGGTCCTCCAGGGACTAGTACTAGGACCTCTTCTTTTCTTGATCTATGTAAACGGTCTTCCACAATAAGTATCGTCTTACTTATCACTTTTTGCTGATGATGTGAAACTTTGGAGAGTGGTACGCGACCAAGAGGATATACTGGCACATGAGAAGAGCTGACTGGACCTCAAAGTTGGGCATATCAAAATGGACATAACTTTAACACTTGTAAAGTATTCCATCTGAGACATGTTGCAGACTACAGTTATAACTTAGGAAACTCCTCTCTAGAAGCATCCCAAGTTGAAAACGATTTAGGAGTCCTGGTACCCCTCGATTTGAAGTCTTACGCTAACTGTCGCAAAAGTGCCTTTCGAGCATACCTTGCACTGGTAACATTGAAGCGCATTTTTAGCCAATTTGACGAAAGAACTTTTCACATAATCTTCAACAGTTTTATTTGTCCCCATTTAGAGTACGCAGACATAGTATTTTCTTCTTCACTCCAAAAGGATATGGGCACTCTGGAGCATATCCAACGGTGATCCAAGAAATCAGTTAGAGGACTCGGATTCAAACCTTATGAAGAGCGCCTCAAATAACTAAACATTTACCGATTAGAGTACAGGCAGCTCAGAAGTGACGGTCTAATGGCTCGCAGTATCCTTAACACTTCTGGACATCCACTTAAACATTAATTTAAGTTTAGCTCTAGCACAAACCTAAGGCGTAACACCCAGCCATCGGAGACAAAATACAGCAAAACGGAATGCAGACACACCTTCTATTCTTTGAAAGTTGTCAAATGCTGGAAGTCGCTGCTGGCTGAGCTAGTCCAAGCGAATTCCAAGGAGTCCTTTGAGAGGAAACTTGACCTATTTGCACTCAAGCAGCCCAATAAAATATTCTCGTACATAAACTACAGAACAAGGATGCATCATTGGATTCCCAATCTAATTAAAGAAGGAAGTGAATCTGAAATGATAGAGGAAGATCAGGAAAACGCATTGGCTATGTCTGACTATTTTGGGACAGTTTTCACTCAGGAACCTCCTCTAGAGAAAGAATCAGACCAAAATAAACAGTCAACAAACCACCTGCTCACCGTGGACGTCGATCAAGACGATGCGCTTAAGGCTCTTAGCACTTTAAACATGGAAAAGTCAACAGGACCAGATGAACTACATCCCAAAATCTTGTGACATCGCACAACACATCGCGGCCCCACTGACTGATATTCAACATGACACCTGATCAGGGAGTGCTACCTATGGACCGGAAGGACGCGATCGTCACTCCCATACACAAAACAGGTCCGCGACAAGTTCCATCGAATTACAGACCCGTAAGCCTCACCAGTGTGGTAATTAAAATACTGGAAAGAATAATCAAACGGACCATAACGGCATTTATGGAAACCAATAACTTGCTGAACATGGCACAACATGGTTTTAGAAAGGGTCTATCCTGTACAACGAACCTCCTTATAGCTAGGGAGTTCTGGATAAACGCGCTAGACAACGAAAACTCAGTGGATGTTTACTGAATAGATTTCAGTAAGTCTTTTGACGAGGTGCCAACTAATAGACTGCTATTGAAGTTGGCAAACCTTGGTATTGCCGGACTTCTTTTAAAATGGATTAAGGATTTCCTAGTAGGTCGTAGACAGAAAGTAAGAACAAATTCCAAGTGCTCCATCTGGAGACCAGTACTTAGTGGAGTACCCTAAGGTTCCGTCCTAGGTCCTTTACTTTTTATAATGTATGCTACTGATCTTCCAAGTATAGTGCAATCTCCAATGTTATTATACGCTGACGATGTAAAGATTTGGCGAGTAATAACTGGAGACAAAGACGCATTTACTCTTCAGGCAGACTTAAATAATTGCTGAAAAATTCCCATTATATTAAAAACACAATTGTATGAACGAAGAATATTCTTTTCAATAATTGCTCATCAGGTTCTACAATTATAAATCCAGATTAATAATCCATAAAATTGACCAGATTTAAGGCAAAATACATCATCATTTGGAAATTGTAATATGTAAATCAGGAATTGTTTGTTATATAAAATAAAATCGTTAATGTTGGGACGACTAATATGAAGTGTTAACTTGAATCAGTTTATAAGTGAAATGAAATTGCGAGATAAATTATCAGAATAAATATGGTCAACGTGGGGTAAGAGAGAGAGGGAGAGAGAGAATATTGTGATTACAAATTGGAAATTGCGTAATATGTAAAATAATTAGGTCAAATATAGTAAATTCAGGGGTGGATATTGAATAATATGATAAACTGGTCTAAAGAGTGGCTGATGCCTAACGACGCGGAAAAGTGTGTCTACGTGCACTATGGGCATTCAAAGGTTAATAGTTACAACATAGGGGATGTGCCATTACCCGTAATCCGGTCTCATAAAGATCTAGGGGTGACAGCGAGTAATGATCTTAAGACGACGGCCCATTGTCGGGAGGTCTCAGCTAAGGGGTTTCGAACCCTCTGGGCTTTAAAACGGACATTCACTAAGTTAGATACTACCAAGTTCACCACAGTATACACATCATTATTGAGGACTAAGCTAGAGAACTGCGTTCAGGCTGCAAGTCCCTGTCTGCAAGGTGACTCATATATCTTCGAAAAAGTACAGAGGGCAGCTACCCGTGCAATTTCAGAACTCCGGGGTTTATCATACAAAGAGCGGCTTGAAAATCTGGACCTCTTTACTCTGTCCTATCGCAGAGTGAGGGGAGATCTAATTATGATGTACAGAATAGTGAGAAATGATCTCGGACCTAACTTATTCTCTCTTTTTCTTCCCACTAGATAGGGACATCTCAGAGGACATAGCAGGCGAGTAGAAAAGCCAAGGACGAACAAAATACCCGTGGCATACAGGTTTTCACATCGAGTCATCAATACTTGGAACCTGCTGCCTGAAGCAGTGGTGTCCGTACCTTCAATTGACTCTTTCAAAAGAAGACTGGACACTCACAGAAGCATACTAGAAAAGGAATGACATAGGCCGTAGGCCTTCTGTCCTTACTACACAAATCTGAATCTGTTGTTAAGGAATAAGGAGTTATCAATATCTTTTTCCTCTGTTGTTGCGGATATATCTAGGTTCCCGCCTGAAGATATTGGTGATCCACTGCTACTAGGTACGGAAGCCCGTTAAGCGAAAGCTTCTCTATTCCGCCCACAACCATTTGAATCATTTGAAATACCACCTTGACCTTGTAAACAAGCGCATCTTTTGAGTCTCAGCGCGTGGTTGGCCAATGCTGAAATTCGGCATCGCTAATTCTACTGATGACTTTGAAATAGTAACAAAAGTCCCAAAGCTTTCGGTAGGTACAGTTGTTTTACATATTTCGGCAGCGCAAAAGACCTAAAACTGTGATTAAAAGTGCAAAGACCGGGAAGAAAAAATGCACAAAAAAGGCTAAGGAAGAAGATCAAGTTTTGAAACCTGCGTGGACGGATGACGATGATATTACTCCACAAATATCAATTCGGTGTGTTTGGTTCTGTTAACTTATTTTATAGGCCTCCACGAGCCTTAGACGTGTTTGCAAAAATAGATCAGCTTAAAAACGTGAAATCAGTTGGCTCAGATGATGAAGAGAATTGCATTTACTCTCGGAAATCTGCTGCATGTGATGAGAAAAGCTCTAAAATACTCTCTTACGGAAAAGAAATAGGCGTTAAGAGACTTAGTGATGTCAATCGTGAGAGAAGGTCAATGGCTTCAATCGTATCAACTGAGTTCAATACACACCACCGTATGCTTTTAACTGCAAGCGTAGATAGTACTATGGCTTTTTTCAAGGTGATATTGATTTACTATAGGTGTTCTATAACCTTTGAAACCGCATCCAACTGTTTTGTTTTAAATGTATTAATGTTTATCAACTGACTCAGTGTTCATGCATACATAAATTGTTAAGTCATCAGCTGATATAAGATAGGAAGTTAATTGTTAGTTACAGCGGGGTTTATCCTGACTTTTTTTGGCAGGTTTTACCCAAGTCTTGGTGACTATCGTGTTAATATCGATACGTAACTTGTGCAGCTTCACTGGATTGTTTTTACTGAGGATATTTTTATGTTAGTCCGATTATTTAAGGTTTGAATAATTTTTTCTGGTTAGCGTTTTTTTAGCGAGTTAGCCTTCCACGGGATGGGGTCGCTAACCCCATGCCCATCCCTCCTCCTTTATCCGGGCTTGGGACCGGCAGTAGCCCTCGGAGGGACTCCAGGCGGAGTTTACGTAATACGTTGAGAACTTCACCTTTCAATGAAACGGTGAATTACTGGTTTTCAAACCTAAACCATCTACTCTAGTCCAAACAGCTGGTTGATATGATTAAGCCTCAGAAAAAGCAGTGACTCAAATTCTGGTTTGAAATTTGTATTTCGGGTTATAATGTAATGATCACTTTTCATGTTTTAACTCCTTGGATGTTACCAAGTTGAAGTCATTCAAGTTCAGTTATCGATAGTAGACTCATTCTTTGTAATACCTCACTGACCTTTTGAATACTTTACCAATGTTGAAAGTTTTGTTTAAGTCCTATTCAAAGTATAGAGTATCATCATATGACTGAAAAATATACATAGGATGAACCAAATTGTCTATTTCGTGCTGAAATTATAAGTGTAAATTGGGATTGCTTTTGAGGTTAAACATCACTTCTAATTTTCGTATGTGTATAGTTTGTTTTACAGAAACAAACTTAACCTCTGTGGAAATAATAAGCATATATCACAGTTCCAAAAGTTAGATTCATTTTCTTTTGACTCGTTTGCCAAACCAATTAGTGTATTTGATATGTAGCTAGTGAAAGTAAATGTAACTCACCAACGAGCGTGAACTGATAGACATTCAGGTCACTGTCTGTTAATTATGCGATTTGGTTGCTACAGATTTCTGCTTTGAATTCACTGAATATAGACCACCTATAATTGTGTTGAATAAAGCACTTTCTAGTCTATACTGGTTCCCTGTTTCGGTTTGGGCACCCGGGCAGTACCACAACCCTCACACATATCAAATGAGATCTGTGTGACGCATATCTATTTGTGGCTTCATTGTACCAATATTTATGTGGTAAAATAAATAAATACTGGTTCCCTATTATTGGTTGTAAACCGCATATCTGGCGTAACGTGACTCGTCTGTGTATAGTATAGCGACCGAGTACAATCTCAATCACCGGTCCCATTATCGTAACAAAAAATAATTTTTCCCTCCGTTGCATCATTCATTATCAAATGGATTAATAGACTTATTACATAAGTCCACACTCTTCTAGAGAATCTGCAGAGATTATCTGTGCAGCTCTCGTAGAAATATTTGGGAGACATGTCATAGAGTAACATCTTATCGTTTCGGAGATTCGAGTAGACCAATGTGTGATTGATGGAGATTCAGGCACTCACTCGGTTTCATAGTCACTGTATACCTGGGAATATTTAATCAAAAAGGAACATCGACATCGGTTTTGTGGCAAACATCATCAAGACAGTCATTTCAAAACGTTTCGATTTCGTTGTAAGAATCTACATTTTATTCTTTTAGTTTCACAGCCTACTCATGTGTAGGTGGATATACATTTTTAGAGTAGTTTTGAGACGCTTTTCTTAATCCGAGGTAAGCTTTTTCAGCTCGTCAGATTCAAAGTCTACGTCCTTATCTTTTCATGCCTTTGGAACTTCGCATTGATTATCGAGTTCCAGTTTTGAATACTGTGAATATTTATGATAAATCTTGTAAAAGTTATTTTCAGTAATTTTGTCGGTTACATTATCAATGTTGCTGTACCTTATGGTGGTCTTGTTTGATTATGGTTTAATTACACATTAGGGCTAGGGGATATCTCGTACTTCCAAATTCTAAGTGGTTGATCTCACCTTGACCTAATGGTTAAAGCAGTATATCGTATTCATCGATTACTGAAATTACATAATCCTATGAAGTTTAATTATCATTTATATTATGTCCTGTTGAAATATAGGTTGACGGCTCGGAAAATGCACTACTGCGTGATCGTGTGTATGAAAACTTTTCTCTTTCCTCAGCTAAGTTTACAGCTTACGGTGATAAAGTTATTTTTACCGGGAATGTTGGCTCGTTTCGTGTAAGTAGGTTTTAATCCTAACTGTTTTAATTTTTCTTGATTTTCTGGTCACAGTAAATTTTATTAATGTTGATTTGTAATTATGAACAGTTATTAGATTTATAGTGTCTATGTTCTCCAACTTCCTCATAAAGATTTACTGAGACAAATACTTCTAACCTGTTATTATTAGGTTACTTATACTAAGTAGAACGTTGATTTCACTTCCAGCTGTTTATCGGTACTAATGGGAATTAAAATGAATATGTGCTACACAAATATGGGAATGAGATAGTGAAAGAATAGAGGAAGAAAGGAGATTATAGTCTAGAAAATAGATGAATGGAAATATGTTGTTGGGAATAAATTATGATGGAAAAAACAAATTAGTTGAAAAAATGGAACTAGGAAGAGTTCTTTTAGTTAAAGACATTTCTTTCACTTCTACGGAACATGTAAATGAAGATTATGGCAGGACTACCATTGCCATCTTTTTTGAGCCATGTCTAATAATGTCTCAAGTCACTAATTTGCACCATCTGTCTGACCCAACCAGGGCGTCATGATGGACCGACTTATGACAATCGTTTATTTTTAGCAAACACAAATTTTAAGCATAAGGAGAGACATCGTCTAACATGGCGACCCCCTACACCAAACCAACGATGGACTCAAATAGACCATATTGCCATCAGTCATCGTTGGAGAGGGTCGGTAGAGGATTGTCGCTCATTCTGGAGTACCTGCTTGGACTCCGACCATGCCCTAATATGGGCACGCATCTACTTGCGCCTCCCTGGACGCAAAAACGCCACATTAAAAAGACCCATTAGAACTGAGTTGAGTAACGAAAAAACCAAATGTAGGTTCCAGGAACAACTGAGGTCACACTTAGGTAGTTCTGAAAACGAGGCTGACCCAGATGTTGCTTGGAAAGATATACAAACAGCTGTGGAAACAGCAATGAAATCTATTAGTGACTTAAACCACAGAGTTACAAAGAACCAGTGGATTTCTTCAAAGTCTATCACACTGATGGATTCTCGTAAACTCATCCCATCAGGCTCTGAACAAGATGAAGAGCGACGACAAATCAGATCTAGGTTAAGAAAAAGTCCAAGAAACTACCGTGAGCAGTGGTGGGCGACGAAAGCAAAAGAGATAGAAAAGGCGGCGACTATAGGGAACACAAGACAGCTTTACAGACTAATAAAAGAAACTGAAACTACTAAGTCAAGTGTGAGATTATTTCGGAAAAAGACGATACTCTCATCTGCTCCGAGTCCAGACGTTTCGAACGATGGGCGGAACATTTTAGGGAACAGTTCAGCTGGCCTTTAGCTACTCTACAACTACCCTCCATTCCCAGACAGTGTGAATGGAATATTGAAGTAGGTCCCCCAACTCTTGCTGAAGTTCAAAAGGCTATAGTTAATCTGAAATAAGGAAGGGCAGCTGGTCCAGATGGATTGGCTCCAGATAATTTTAAGGATGGTGGTCCAATTTTAGCGATTAAGTTGACTAATATTTTAGCTAAGATCTGGGAATTAGACGTTATTCCATCTAAATCGTCACAATCACTTATCATCCCAATATATAAGAGAGGGTTAAAATCATCCTGTGACAACCATAGATGGAGTAATTTAACTAATATAGTATCTAAAATACTAGCCTCGATGATTATCAGACGCCTAACTAAGACTCGTGAACTGCAAACACGAGAGAACCAAGCTGGCTTCAGACCTGGTCGTGGCTGCATCGACCACATATTCACCATTCGTCAGGTTCTAGAGCATAGGCATACTTATCGGCGTCCGACAATGGTGGTCTTTCTTGACTTAAAAGCAGCATTTGACTCGATAGACCGCGAGATTCTGTGGCAGTGTCTGTCATTGAAAGGCGTACCTCAGAAGTACATAAACCTCGTAAAGGCTCTTTACTCGAACACTACCAGTCGAGTCAGAGCTTATGGCGAACTGTCATCTACTTTTGCAACCTCAAGTGGTTTCCGTCAAGGCTGTCCACTTTCTCCATTTCTGTTTAACTTCATCATAGACCTATTGATGGAAACAACTTTCTCGTCGACTGAATTCTCGGGTATTGATCTCCTTCCAGGAGGTCCACTTATCGACTTAGAATACGCAGATGACATAGTCCTGTTTGGTGAAGACGCTGACAAAATGCAGAGTCTTTTGGTAGCACTAAGCAACAATGCCAGAATGTTTGGAATGCCCTTCTCTCCCTCTAAATGCAGGTTGTTGCTTCAGGACTGGTCTGCGTTTACACCTGAACTAAGGATAGGGAGTGAAGTAGTCGAACGCGTTGACAACTTCACTTATCTTGGAAGTCTGATCAGCCCTAATGGGTTGGTGTCTGACGAAATCTCTGCACGGATTCGAAAAGCTCGTTTGGCTTTTGCCAACTTACGTCACCTGTGGCGAAGGCGAGATATCCGTCTATCAATAAAAGGACGAGTATACTGCGCGGCAGTCCGTTCAGTTTTACTTTACGGCAGCAAAACATGGCCTTTAAGAGTAGAAGACACTCGTAAGCTACTAGTATTTGACCACAGATGCCTTAGAAATATCGCTGGCGTCTGTTGGGATCACCGGGTAAGTAATAGTCAGGTTCGACGCAGGGTATTAGGTAATGATGGTAAATCAGTTGATGAGGTTGTAAATCTTCGTCGACTGAGATGGTTGGGCCACGTGTTACGTATGCCTGAACACCAATTACCACGACGTGCAATGCTAACCGGTGTTGGAGGTGGTTGAAACAAAGTTAGGGGTGGCCAAACCAAAACGTGGCATCAGTGCTTGAAGATACTAACTTCTAGTCTGAGCAATGTTGGTAGATGCAGACTACTTGGTTGGGGTCCGCGTGACTTTCGTAACCAATGGTTGGAGACTCTTGGTGACATGGCTCAGAATCGATCACAATGGCGTAGGTGTATACACTCCCTGTCATCCCTTAAACTAAGAGATTAAAATCGCTTCATATCTTTCTTTCTACTAAGTAATTCTTTCTTCCTGTACTATATCCTTATATGAAATCTTTCTTTTATATATTACCACCTCTGAATTAACTACTTTTATGAATGCGGTGTTCATCTTGTGCTAATGCGGTATGGCAACTTGGACCGATTCATATATGTGCCTGGTCCTACTTTGTAGCTGACTGACTGACTGATGACAGTCCTACACAACTTTCTTTGATAGTCAGTCAGTCAGGTACAACGGAGGACCAGGCGCATATATGCATCGGTCCAAGTAGCCATACCTCATTAACACAACAAGATGGACACCGGATTCATAATAGTAGTTAGTTCAGCGGTGGTAATATATAAAAGAAAGATTGCATATAAGGATATAGTACAGGATACCTCAACCCCATCTCATAAACTGGGTACCACTGTACTTTTTTCCAACCGGTTTCAGCCTTGGCAAATAAAGCATTATGTGAGAGTCACTGTTATTATATTCATAAGAAATGTCCAAGTCGGTGTTCGAAGATGGTGACACGAAGTGATTTATGGTCACTGTACCTGAACATGCGTTGGTGAACCTGAGCTTTAATGATGCGATGTTTGCAATGAATGTCAGCAATGCTTCGGAAACAAGGATAATGAAGAATAGAGTGTCGTCTAACATTATGAACTTGTATAGTCTATGTTTGAAAAGTGTAGAGGAAATACTGATCTCACTTTTGTGTTGTAATCTGAATGTTTTACAACCAGGTTAACATGATAAGGGCGCCTCGATTCATCGACTTTTCGACCACTTTTAGCGGTTTACCATAAAGAGCGAGTGCAGTTAGGGCCTCGTTCCGGTGCTGGAAGATTATTTTGCATTTGGACGGTACATAGAACATAAAAAACCTACTGACATTTGTCAAGTGATTAAGTGTGGATTGCATAGCTTGAGTGTCATCTTATGTTAAGACAATATGATTGGGGTATTAAATATTTACACTTCTTTCTCCACCACTACTTTTTCCAAAGTGTCATCGGTGGGAAATTTGAAGTAGAATAGTAAGATTAGGAACATGTCTAACCCCACTGCTGGCATTGAAAAATGGGGAGACGTGGTTGCATGTTCTCGCTCTACCCGAGTTGCTTGTACATAGATGCCTTAATATGTTAATAAACTCCCTAGATACCCTCCTTAAATGGATAATCCCATAATACTGTATTGTGTGGCGCATATGTATTTGATGTCCCCTTGTACCAATATTTATGTGTTCAGATAAATAAATAAAATACAGTCCTGCTCAACAAGTTGAATAATAACAATTGTTTGCCTGAGATAAATATGACGATGTTTCAATATTTATCAGTGTGAAGACTGGGTCAATACATTCACGACCGAAAATATAAATTAACCCGCTTGTAACGAATCAGCCTTTTAGTGGCTTTAAACAGTTTGCAAATTGTGATGGAAGTCAATCATTTGGACACAATCGGAAGTACTATTTTATTGTGGAGTAGTTAAGTTAGGTGTTATCAATGCACATGTTTCACTGGCAATATAATAAACCACTCTTTTTGGTGAATTTTTCTAAAACTTTACAGCATTATTTAATACGTATGCCTTCCTTTTGTTATACACGACCTGTGGCATACTACTGATTGTTGTTATCTATTTGTATGATGTGTGATACCTTATCGTATACATTCGTTCTATGGTGCCAGTGTTTTTAGTAAAACACTACACAGTTTTTTTTATCAAGCTGGTGTTCGACCGAATTAGACTTTAAAAATTCTACTTACTGTATTGTTTGTTTCTTGTTCTTTTTTTCGAAATGAGTTTTTTGTTTGTTATTTATGTGTCTTATAGATTTATAATTTAGAAACTGGAAATGAAAGTCGTGCAAGACGATTTATTGGTTCATCAACAGACGAAACAATCACTAAATGTTTTATTTCATCAGTTCATCCAAATTTGGTAGCCCTGGGAACCAATGGAAGTGCTGTGTATCTGGCCGATTTACGAGTTAGTTTAAACTACTTATTTCAAAATAGTAAATCATTTTTTATGCTAACTGAATGTGACATTAATAAGTTGGTTATCTGGTAATTCTATTGAGTTCTCCCAAGATAGGGAATGATTTACTTTTCTATGTAAAAAAACGAGTTGGTTATCTAAGCAAAGCTGTGGGTTGGTGTTCGTAACATTTAACTAGTAGATCGTAGTCTCAAATCCTGCTCCACGTACTTCGATTTTGGCAGCCGAATAATATCACTAGCCATCATAAAAACAATGTGATTCATAGCCGAGGAGATAAAATCTGTACTTGATAAATTAGTTACATTATTAATTTGATTCCGTTCATATGCACGTATTTAAACTACTGATATATTAGTTAAACAAATCATAATTTTCTTGTTTCTTATTAATTATTAGTTCGATTAGTATATGTGTATACGTAGATATATAAATATTATCCCACCTATCCCTGTGGTATATTTTTAAAATCTTCAGTAAATAGTGTTGACAATATAGGTTGCCTGTAAGTTGTTTTTGATTTTTTTGCTTTGGAAACATCAGTGCATGATATATTACAAATTTCTTTATTTACTCATCTAAATATGACTATCAACTTGGTTTAAAAACTAACACTTATTAATTAAAAGAACTAACAATCATCAATTTTCATCTTCTTTTGGCACATATTGTTGTTTACCACTCACTACTATCCGTAAGACGCTTTCATATGAAGAAAAGCTGTCAGTGTTGTTAATTTTACTTCCAGGATGAAGCAGTGTTATTTCAGATAACATCGATAATAAAGTTTGTACCATTTAATGAGTATTTGAAGATCCAAGCTCAACCTGTCTAGTATGATACTGATTATCTCTTGTGTATCATCAGTTCACTTGTGTATGTACCTCATATTCTTGTCCACACGAGTTGATCGTGTCTCCTCTACAAGAGTCTGAAAATAACGATGATTACATTTAAAGTACAATGAAATACAGTTCTTTCATAAGTTAGAAAATGATGAATCATCCTAAAATGAATAAGTTTGTCTTATTTCTCGCCGTTGTTTTTACAGAGTTTAGAAAAAATTTCAGTTATGAGAGCAAGTGGTATAACCAATTCAATTTGTTTCACTCAAGATGGAACATTTTTGAATACTTATGGGGGTAAGTTTCAAAACAAAGCTTTACATTGAATAGTTTGTTTAGTTTTATTTGCACATTCCTTTGAGTAATGAAGGAGAAAATATGATGCGTGTTTTTGTATATTGATTATTTAACATCAAATTGTTTCGCATAAGTTGCAATGTAAATGGTTCAACTCATATACACTATAATGCAAGTATTCGGTTGGAAAACTACCGTACTCATATGTAACTCCATTCTTCGATCTCATCCTTTTGAACTGTTTCCCATCTGCAGACTTTTATTGTTTTTGAAATTACTCACTGTCTCATATTTTTCTTGTTGTTCATTTCCTCTATGTGTGTTGATGTAAAACGTGCCATACCTTACATTGATGACTGTCTGGTTGGAACGTATGTGCAACTAATATCAGTCCAGTCCAGTTAGTCAAAATTGGTTGGATGAGTTTAAACCAGCGGGAAAGTTGAACAAAAATTGGGTTAATGTTTCCACGATTTTTTATCCATACTTGTAGCATGATTTATGTTCGGCCATCTTTTCTGATCGTCACTATTATGAAAATGTAGCAAAGATACTGAGCAGACAAATAAAAGTAATCATCATTAGACTTGGTACAAATATGCATCTGTTCGCGTTGTCAAAGTTCATATCACCAAAAGAAGAAATTGACAGAATAGGAAATAAAATAATGGTAGTGGTCAGCTAAATAAATGCAAATCGTAAAAAACTCACGAAATCATGAAATGTAAAATATTGTCAGTTAAAAAAATGAATGGATGGTTTTCGATAAGGATAGTCTTGAACTATATCACCTAAGTTCACTGACCATGGATTACGGTTATTCTACAAATCCTAACCGGGAAGTTTGAGCCTCAACTGATTAAGAGAGTATCATAATAAGGGCTCTCTCAAATCGGTGCTTTATTGTAATAATAATGTTTTGTGTCCTACTTACTTTTTATAATTCATATAATCAATGATAACTGTTTACTATCTCGTTTTAAATTTACAATTTACTTCTGTTAGTTTTAATAGTTTTCTCATCTGGTTAATTTTAGCTGAAGGTTCTATCTATGTATTTGATCTACGAGTTAATAAAGCTAGAATTATTCATCGTTGGTTTGATCAAGCCAGTACAAATGGTTTATCTATCTCTTCTTCACCTAATTCACAATGGATTGCTTGTGGGTAAGATAATTGGTCTTAACTAATCGTCTACAAATGATCAAAATTATATGAAAATTGGTAATCATTAGCAAATGCTTTACTAATAGTCGAGTTATATCTTTACTTTATAAATTCAGATAAACAACACTGTTTGTGTGAATTAAATTTAATACATATTAAATATTTATATATTGTTAAGTGTTTTGTTAAGGCATTATTGTTGTTAGTTAATGAGCCATAGATACCACCATAACTACATGTTACATTTTACTGATAACTAATTCACGTCATCTATCTATAATTATGCTACTCAATCTCTGCCCAATTGTTAAATAGGTTGACTATACTGTGAATCTATCTTAACTGAGATGATTGAGATGTAGATAACAGATATCTGACCACTATCTATTTTGATGTTCCGTACTAAGTAGTTTACGAGGGGTGGGGTAAGTTGGAAAAAAGATCGGAAGCAATGAGATTATTATAGAACACCAATCTACGAATTCATTAACTATTAACTTTGCTGTTTTTGAGGTTCAAATATATATTAATTGTTGTCACTAAAATAACTGTAATCAATGGTTGGACGACCAGAAGTATCTCGGCATCAGTCAAAGTGGTCTAGATACATTTATTTCTTATTATCATTTAGTCCTTAAACATAATACTACTTCTTATACATATTCAGTAATATAACGTTTCTATACTCTTTGTGTAGTATTTTGATGAAGTTGCAAAGTGGATTTTAATCCGCATATATATACTCTCTTAGAAATACTTTTCACCTTAAATAATTTCATGTTATAAGGGCATAAGTCACTCATTGATTCTACTTTTTTTCGTCAGTACAGATGATATTGTCAGAACACCTTGTTTGTTGACTTGAAACAGTGAACTAACTGTTGTGTAAAACTAAATTCTATTGTATAGAGTTTCTTCATCTTTAACCTAAGGAATAAATATTACTCAATACGCACTACCACCTCCTGAATATTGAATAGCAAATTATAAGAACTTTAGTCAACACAGTGACTTCATGATACTATCTTTAAAATCTATTTGTTATTTATTTATTATTATTATTGTTATTATTATTATTATTATTATTATTATTATTATTATAGTGAACAACCGACTGTTATTCACTAGACAGGACCACTTGATTCCTAACCATTAATCAGCAACTCACTAATTAGACTATTATTGTTGGTTATTACAGGTTAAAAATAAATCAGTGAACTTAAATAATCATAATTTTCTGTATTGCAGTTATTCTGGTCTAGTTAATTCTTAAGTAGTCCAAATTGTTGCCTAGCTATCGAAACTAAGTTCAGACATGATGATTTGAAAATATTTAGGTATTGGGTAACAAAAATACACATATAACATATAGTTAAGGATCTATTTGATTTAATAGTTAAAATAACAAACCAGAAATTTGATAAAGGTGGAATTATAATGAGGAATGATTTGATCTCACTTTATACTAGAACTCCTATTGTCAAAAGTCTTAATATCATTTTTAGCTTAATAGAATCAGACATTCTATCAAAAACACCAGCTAGATAACCAAGGCCATAAAATCTTTCTTCGAAACGAATTACTGTATATTTAGAGGGAGCTTATATCAACAACCAACTAGAGTAGCGATGCGGTCGCCTGCATCATCTTTAGTTGCAAATCTATTCATAAATAATACATGCAGGTGTACATTCGGTGTATTCTTAAACATACCTAAACTAGAAATATACCTGAAAACACGTTGATACTTTCGTGGTATTATACACCACTTGTTTTTGGGGAAACTGAACAATGAATCGCCCAGTTTTAAGTTTACCTCAGATTTAGAATCAGATAGCACTGAATCGCTTAGTTAAACGTAAAGAAAATGGATATTTTAGTATGACTGTTCAGTAAGAAAATAAACTTTGGCGAATATCTTAATTTTTAACCGTTACACTACACCAGTTGTCTTCATTCTTTTAAGAAGGACACACACTTTGATAGCAAACATGAAGGAAATCGAACAAGGACTAACTAACTATCCAATAAATTTTGTTCACAAAATAGGAACAAATATTAAGCCTAACCGAAAAATTACTCTGGAATCATGAACTACAACAATCATCATTGTATACAGAACTCACAACTGAAATCTCAACAAATGTAACCTCAGGGTATTCTTTAAAGCATTATATACTACAAAACGAATTCGTTCATCCGAAAGTCAAAACACCGGAAAATTCACAATCTAATCGTATCTGTGAAATATGATGTTCAGGATGTGACTCAATATATATCGGACAAAATTCTCGAGAAATCAGTATCAAAAAGTAACTATCGTATAGCCTCTGTTCGATCACTGAGAAACTTGGACAATGGAAAACCGGCTATAGAAATACTTTACATAAAATTAAGTTTGATTAGGAATAAGTGTGTAAGATAAAATTTGAACTGGCTGCAAAACACTCCTTCCACAAGCGAACTTTATCAATACGGATATGATGAGGATTTTTCTTCACATTAACACATGCTGTTTCTTATATTTTTTAAATCCACCAAATCTAACAATCTACATCTGTCTGTTTTCCTTATCAATCCAGTCGCTCTACAACGCAGAATTACTTTGTATAAAAGAACTTTGATGGAATTATAATGTATGAGCTGAGATATATGTAAATTCGAGTTGACTGGTGCTTTGATAAGACTGTTATCACCAGTATAAACAACTTTGTTTTATTTTCCACTCATTGGAAAATCCATATATCTATGTTAAGGATGCTAGATCCCCAGAAATCATTTGGTAAACGTCTTGTTTTGGAAGTTTGAACTTCTAAATTTACGCGACAAAAGCGCCCACTTTTACCTTCAGTTTGTATTTTTTACTTGGAAGGACCTTAAATGTCATTGGTTCGTTCCCTTTCTTTAGTACGCTATTTTGTGGTGTTTTCCAAGGATATTTTTGCACTGTATATATACACATGAGTTGTGGAATATACATTTCCCTCAGCTGACTATGATCTTCTTCCTCTAGTTATCAGGGCTGGGGCGCAGTGGGATAGCATAGCTTGTCCTGTTGTAGTGTTGCTGACTTTCATTCCGTTCGCCGGTTTTAGGCGATGTCGTGATATCTTCAAACGTACCAATCTAGTAATACTAAATAATCTAAATGCTCGATTAAAAAATGTGAAATTTTAAAAATCGCTTATGATCTCCCAACTTACTTGTTTCTCATGTTTTATTCACTTTCAGTGTTGTCTATTTGTTTATTTAATAGATGAATGTTAAACTAATATAAGGCACTATTTACCGAATAGTTTCATTCATTTCTTTTTTCTTTTCTTCCCACTTTTTCCTTATTTTTTAAAAATAGAATTTATTTAATCCGTAGAATTTAATTATTTCTCAGTATACTCATTTTAAAAATATCACTTTCAGGGCAAAACAAACTCATTTTTGAGATATATTGTGATATTTTCCAAGCATTGAAAACTTATTGTTGTTATTCATCTGTTCATTGTTTACATTAAGTTCTGAAATGAAATGAACATTGCGTGTAGGGCTCTTTCTCATTTCAAACCTTTTTATTTCCATGTGATTTCTAAATATTAGTCTCTACTCGATTTAATTTATTCGCGCTGTCACGCGTTTGTTTGTTTGTGTGTTTGTGTAAATTTAGATCAAGAATTCTGGTCAATTAGATTAAATCTTTACGATTTATTAAAGAGATTATCGGAAATGTCTTTATTTGATAGACTATCGATGTAAGTTTGTGATTTCGAAAGGACCATTTGTCTTGATTAGTTTTACAGTTTAATGTCTGAAATGGTCGATTTTTAGTCATATTTTACGTCCGGTTTGTTTAGGCAGTATTTCTATCTATACTGACCATGTAAACAGGAGAAATCTGCAGTAATTTACATGTAACAGTTTGTTACAAACTGTTGATTTGCGATTTTGCTAGCTAACTATTATAACATTTACTCATGCACGACTTGTATGAATCAACTTACTACTTAAATCTGCAAGCTCATGCTTACTAAATGTAATATTGTAGGAGCTGAACTTGTCGTCTTGATTCAGATTTACTGTCATTTTTTCGGGATAGACAATATTTCAAACCGCTTGATTGTGAAAAGCCATTGATCAGGTTGATTGATGTGAACTAATTACTTGATTTGACGTATAGTGTGGTTAAAGTAAAATAAAGCTCGAAGGTAGATAAGGGTTAAATCGTGAGATGACACTAGTTCATGACGATATTAACTATTCGTCTGTGTACTGTAGGAAGGCTTATACTGTGAATAGGGTTATTAGTATGACAGAAATCAATAGTCAGGAAAGCCTTCCGTAGCATTGATCAGGTTTGACCAAAGTAGCGAAGTACCCAAATCTTGTTGGTTCAAATTCTGGATACCCTATCACTTTCCATATGATTCCCTATCCTACCTCATATCCTTGTTTATTTTAGTCTCTATTCTTTTTTATTGATTTCCCTAAGTGTGCACTGTAGGAAGTTATGATCTTTTCAACCAGTGTACTTTTCTACGACAATCTATTTGTCACTGATATGATAAATACAACATTTTGTTTACGATGAGCTTTTTAAACATTTGACATAAAATGCTACATACTACGCTTTTTTTCAGTCAGCATCAAATTGAATAATTACACATTTTAAGATGAACTGAAATTAATCATTCTAATTTGTCTCAAGTAATTTTTATCATATTGCATTCAAATATTCTTTAAATTTCTGTCTTGTTTTACACAACTTTCAATGTCAAAGTAGATTTTATTCTTTATCATTCACAATAGATTATAAACTGCACGTATTATGCATTCTAATTATTTTCTTCGATTAAATGGATGTTATACAATTGTAATCGAGAGGTAAATCTCTTGGATTACCCGTTCAACTGACGAACTTATCTTTATCCCTTCTGGTAAGATGATTAGAACTAGTAATGATTCATGAGCAATTTTATCACATGAAGAGTCATTTCAATTGCTTGTGTTTTCAACTTATCTTTAGTTACATCAATTAGGTAAGGAATCTTGGCATTGTTCAGAAAGACAATGAAAGTTTCACAGTAATACCTTCTTCACTGAGTGCGACATCAAAATATTCGTTTTGAACTACAAATTTTGTCCATCAGTACAGAATTTATTGGTCAGAATGTTCTTTTCTTGTTATTGATAGCATAACCATTATTGTAAGTTTGATTATCTGATTATGAATTTATCAGAAAGCTGTTTGCTTCGTTAACTAGTTCCAATACAATCATAATTTATTTATACACACGGAATTTCTGTTTTATTTTTTTATTATAATTTATCATACTTTCTATGTGCTTTTACTCAACAGGGCAGATAGCGGTTATGTAAATGTTTACAAATGGTCATCTACGATGAATACAGAGAATCCACTACCTGATAAAGCTATTGGTAATTTAGTTACCGGTGTTAATTCGCTTTGCTTTCATCCCTCTAATGAAATTCTTTGTCTGGCTTCTTCACAACGTCCGGATGCTGTTCGACTTGTATGTTTTCCTAATAGTTGTCATATTTGGATAATTTATTAGTGTCATGTGGCGGTTAAAACTTTTGACTTTCACGGACTAAGTTTCAAGTTCAAACTCCGCTTTACCTATTTCGGCTTTGGCAACTGAGTGGTATCAGTAGCCTGCACACTTTGAGTATGGCTCATTCTCAAACACCTGAGGAATAGGTTAATCAATTATCCGGATTAATTTTTTTATTCAAATCATTACATAAGTTCTCAGTGAAGCTGACAGAGTATACACCTATATTTTGAGACGGAGACTCCATAGAATACGTATGTTTTATAAGAGTCTTAGTGATGTATCTGTCTAATAAAGAGTTAACTGACGAATCAAAGTTAATGTATTTGTTAAAACAATAGACAGGGGCTGTTTCCAGTGCGATTCAATATTGTGAATTATTACAATCATTTGAAGGTCAGAAGAGTACTTCGACTGGTTTTGTAAGGTCAACAGAGATTTTTGAGATGATGAAAATAAATGGTCGTTAAATTAAAATTTACTCTTAGGATCTTATGGCCTTCCTCGTTGTCTGTCAGTGTACGGTAACAATTTGATCTGGTTCATAAATTTATTCCCATGTCAGTGGTTGTTAAAGCACTTATTATGATCCCTTTTTCCCAAAAACTTGTGGGTAAGCACCTGTCTACTACTTATAAAACTAGTGTGTTCTGACTGATTTCCGTCAAAAAAATATAGGCGTATATTTTCGGAGTTTAAACCATATCCTATCCTGATAAATTAACATATCTGATGGATTCTCAACCTCTCTCATATAATACAGTTTCTTGTTCAATCATGGCGAAGTTATTATTGTTATGGAATGAACAGATTCTGATTCAGTTAAAAAAATGTTAGTGGTAATAATACATATACTTCATTGAGAGAAATACTGACGTATTTTTTGTTGATTATTAGGCACCGACAATAACTTACCCCTTAAAATCACATATAAGCTTATAATCTAAAACATTGATTTCTGGTTCGTCAGTGTCTTATGTAAACTTTAAATGTCATTAAATTCAGTGTATAACACTATCTAATTGAACAAGTGTATACATTGCTACTAATTTTACCATGTGTTACACCATCTTTCCGAATTAAGAAATCACCTATATCCATATAAATCATCCCTAGTCTATGCGTGTAATACTAATTTTGAAGTGTATCTTTTAGTTGTATTATTGTCTCCTTACATTTTTGAGTTTCAAGTGGCTTGTGAGTGCCTAAAGTTTAGAAGTTAATTCAAACACCGATGTTTGATTATTGGCATGAAAATGTCCTATTTCTCTCTTCCTTTGAGGCGATAAAATGTGGTTTACATATTGCCGGTTAAACTAATGTTTCAGTTGATCAGTGACCTTTAAAATACTACCTGATTCATACTTTAACACGTTCTAATATTTTGAAATCTATTTTCATTCATATTTATAATGGTAGGCTTTCATGTAGCTTATAGATGTGCTTGATGTTTAATAGTAGATTTTTATCATCTTTAATATTCACATAGATAATCGTTAATAAGGTCGAATGTTGAATTGTATCCACTATTCTCTGTTTGTTAATATTATCTATCGTATTTGATTTTATGACCACAGCAAATGTTGGACATCGAAATGCTTCCTTAATATGTCATCTTTTCTTGGAATATTTCTTTCGATTATCTTTAATCTTGAATTTCTCATCACAATTTTGTGTAGTTGACAGTTGAACTAGTCATTATGTAAAATTCCATCAATTTAGCCTTGTTGAGACATGTCACCCTAATGTTAGTAGGAAAATATACTTAAAACTATCGAATATTAGTAGTAACGTTTTGTAATGAATTCTAATTCCTTAGATATCTACCATTCACTGAACAGTGGTTGAATTAGAATCGAATTAATGATGGAGTCAATTTCAAAAGCTAGTTGATTATTATCTTGTGTTAATCGAGGTTTTCTTTAAACCTTCATCATCACTTCTGTTATTAAATTAAAAATGGTTGATTATTTTATATAACGAGATTTTGTTAAGACTAGTTTAGTTGGGGTATAATGCATTTGAATATTGACATTCAATGATCAACCTTTTCTTTATCTCTTAATAGCTTCATATCGATTTCGCCATTTTTCTTCCTGTTTAATTCCTTTTTGTGCATATTTATTTTCAGTATGATGTAAACGAAAGTATAATCTTTGAAAACTTTCCCGCTCGTGTTGGTACTTTAAACAAACCCACATCAATTGGATTTAGTCCTGGTGGGCGATTTCTTTGTGTTGGACAATGTAATGGTCGCGCTGCTCTTTACGCTTTGAGTCATTACAACGACTATTGATCTAAATCAGTCACCATTGTACATAGGTACTTTCTATTTGATTTTGTTCTCAAGATTTGTGTACACATTAAATTGTTTAAAATAAAATTAAGTTCGATGATTATGTGGTATTTTTTTCACTGATGAAAATGGTTATATTGTTGATCAGTACTTTTTTCCTTACTAAGATGTATGGAGGCGAATTTAGTTCTTTGTGAACAATTCCCTTATTGTCAGACTAGCGTTTTTTATTTTTATTTATTTGGTATATATATAAATATAAAATAACATCTCGAGGCACTGAGTTGCACCATCTGTATGACCCAACCAGGGAGTCACGATGGACCGACTTATAACAGTCCTACACAACTTTCTTTGATACCTCAACCCCATATCATAAACTGAGTACCATTGTACTTTTTTCCAACCGGTTTCAGCCTTGGCAAATAAAGCATGATGTGAGAGTCGCTGTTATGATATTCATAAGAAATGTCCAAGTCAGTGTTCGAAGTTGGTGAAACGAAGTGATTTGTGGTCACTGTACCTGAACATGCGTTGGTGAACCTGAGCTTTAATGATACGATGTTTGCAGTGAATGTCAGCAATGCTTCGGAAACAAGGATAATGAAGAATAGAGTGTCGTCTAACATTATGAACTTGTATAGTCTATGTTTGAAAAGTGTAGAGGAAATACTTATTTTTGATTACGATCGTGAATCGATTGATGTTGGACCACCATCGAAAACCTGGAAGCACTGAATGACCGTTTCATCCTAGTACGGAACTCCTCAGCAGTGCTCAAATCGGTACTGAACGTCGGTGTTCGGTTCATCAGTAACGGATATCATTAGGAAAACTATTTAGTACTGAAGAACATTTGGAAGCTGGTCTGCTTTAGTTTGAGACTTATATATAGTGTAGATCTATGCAGTTATGATTCAGTGGCTTGATAAAATCCTGAGCGTCACAAGATTTTTCAGATCCAGGTTTCATTTTTTTGTCGTGTACGTTGCATCTCCAAGTTTCAATTGCATTTTATTATTTTCTGTATCAGTTAGTTCACGTAATTGTCGTAAAATAAATCGTTGGTAATTATTCATTTCTCTAAATTCGTTTATGTTTATCTCTTGATAATAGCGGCCACCTACCTACTAACTGGTAACACTTCAGATTACTCTCCAAACCTTAACCGGCATTTGACGATGCTTCCCTACCTAATAGTTAAATTTCAGTCGCTGATTCGTGATCAAATAATTAGCGTACAGTTTTCATTTTAATATATCTTGTTCATCCAGTTTCATATCCAGTCCGTCAGCTACAACGTAGGACCAGGCACATATATGCATCGGTCCAAGTTGCCATACCTCATTAGTACAGGAAGATGTACACCAGATTCATAGAAGTAGTTACTTCAATGATAGTAATATATAAAAAGAAAGATTGCGTAGAAGGATATAATACAGGAAGAAAGAATTAGTTCGTAGAAAGAAAGGTATAAAGTAATTTTAATCTCACAGTTTAAGGGAAGACAGAGTGTGTACACCGACGCTATTGTTATCGATTCTGTGCCATGTCACCAAGAGTCTCCAACCATTTTTACGACGGTCACGCGGACCCTAACCAAGTAGTCTGCATCTAACAACACAGCTCAGACTAGAAGTTAGTGACTTCAAGTACAGATGCCTCCGTATCCGAAAAGTAGTTGTCTAATTTTCCGAGCTAGTGAAAAATCTAACCGAAAAGAAAGATCAATCCATTTTCAGTAACTCACTACTTACTTACGCCTGTTACCCCTCATAAATGTACATAGACCGCCCACCAGCATTCTCCATCGAACTCTGTCCTGAAAAATCCCTTTCAGCTACTACTCATCCTTTTGATGTAACTTATTACATTTCACATTTATTTTAGTACTATTAAATTATTGAGTTAAGAATCACGATAGTAATGTCACGTTTACGTGATTGTTTCATCTACTGAATATATTCATTATTTAGAAATTCCAGTTGGTGCTCTTCAATCACTTCTAAGCTTGAAAAAGCCATTAGTATTTTATAATAAATCTCAGATAAATATATCCTCACAGTGAATGTCTAGAGATTTCCTATCATTTAAGGATAATTTTACTACATTTTTCGGATCAACTCCGTCTTCTCATTGTTCTATCGAAATTTACCCGATCGAAGCTGCTACCTTGACGCGGTGGTCGGGCTTGCCTATCGTGATGACCCAACCGAGCTATATTGGCTGGAACATATGTTCCTGCAGGTTCTACCATGCCAGGCAGGTCAATTGGCGAACGGTAAGACTAAAAGCAGCAACTCAAGGTCTGAGGGCGAAGTCGTACTGCTGACTGTAGAGAGGTGTGACAGCAGTAAGGTGTTTCCCTCGGACAACCAGCATGACAGCGATGCTGCCTTCCCACAAGGAGGGGTGGGGTTAGAAAAGGTCGACCCTAAAAATGCACACCTCACCTTACCTCACGGATTTCCGTCTCCGGCGGTAAGGCCCCTTGAAGAACGGAGCTAACACGTCAAAAACTTTCCACAAAAAGGCCGTGCGCGACCGGCCTCAAGCAGTTGTCCCTCGGGCTCTGCGGTCACGCTCCCAGGTCGTCAAGACCAACACTAATCCAATTTCCTTTTCAGGTTCATCAAGAAATACCCTTCCACGGTGTGGGCAGCCGGGAAGTGACATCAGCCCTCATACCCGTAACAGTACAAGAGACCAAGGTGGTCACATTCATATGGCAGTGAAACATGGCCGGTAAGAGTAGAGGATATCCGTAGGTTACTAGTATTCGATCATAGGTGTCTTCGAAACATTGCTCGTATATCATGGGACCATCGAGTAAGTAACACAGTTGTTAGGAAACGGGTACTAGGTAAGGATGGCAAATCAATTGATGACGTAGTGAAACTTCATCAGTTGAGATGGCTGGGACACGTGTTACGTATGCCCAACGACCGACTGCCTCGACGTGCTATGTTCAGTGGTATAGGAGTAGGTTGGAAGAAAGCTAGGGGCGGCCAAACCAAAACATGGCACAAGTCCATGAAGTCACTGACAAGTGAACTGAGTCATGTTGGTAGGTGTAGACTACCTGGTTGGGGACCGCGAGATGACAGCAACCGATGGTTAGAGACCCTGAATGACATGGCTCAAAATCGTTTGCAATGGCGCAGGTGCATCCACTCTCTGTGTTCTCCCAAACTCTAATCTTCTGAATTCTTCATGTCCCTTTTTCCCTCTTTCCAAATTTCTTTCACTGGATTATACTCTTTAAATAACATCTCCAAACCCTAATCTTCCCGATTACTGCTTATACTCTTGCTACCTCTACCACTACGGGATTTGAATCGACCACTGCATCTCTGTGCAAATGTGGTGTGGCAACTCGAACTGATGTACGTACGTACGAAGTTCTACGTTGTTACTGACTGACTGACTGACTATCGAAATTTATAAAAAGGACTAATTGCTTTAAATTTTACTATGAGCTAATGTCAGTTGGAATACCGTTAAAATCTAGAGATTGCTAAGTATTTGTTTTGTTTTTGTTTGAGACTTCTCATCAGTACAAAGCTACAAAAGACCAAATTCGGTTATTCTTTTAAAGTTAGTTGGAAGAGATTTATTCAACTATTCAATGCCCGTAGTATAGCTTTTAGTATTGTAACTTGTTCTATCAATAACTGAATACATGGCGAAATTCTATTTTCAAAAATTATATATTTTTTAAAAAGTTGTACTATATTTAATCTCGGTCACACTGGTGATTAGTTTCACATGTCAACAATCAACATATGCTGGAATACCTGAGAAACAGTCACATATTAACATACAACTTTAGGAATGGTGTAGGTTCTTTTTTTCAAAAGAATTAATACTGCTGTTGGTGGATAGCTTATTTCAAGAAAAATATGAAAGGAACAGTATCAAGTAATTTAAGTGAATACGTATTTTAATAGAAATTCAATTGACATATTGACGGCTGAGTTAAAGTATGATGGTGAATTTGAGCGGTTTCTAGACTGACCTTGGGAAACTTTTGATCCCCTATCGGCCAATAGGAGGAAAAATAAAAAGGGTTAATTTATAATACAAAATGAAAGAATTTATTATTTAAATTTTTTGAGTGATTAGTGAATATTTCTATATTGCTTATCAGTTATTCTGCCTTGAATTCAAAAATAATCTGACATAGGCATCCGTCCACATGACTATATACCGTTTTACCTCGGGTACTTTTAAAAAGTCTTAAGCACAGTTACATAAAAGAATTACTCACATATTCGGCGTTTTTCCTCTTTTACGTATTATGGCTCTTTCCATATTAACGACTACGCCGACACAATCAAAAGATAATGGTAGTCGCATTGTATGGTTCTGAAACATTTGCCAAAGAAGTTTAAGCTGTAAGCAGGATCTTTATTATCCAATGCATTATCAAGAGCTTTAATTGTCCTAATATTAAAGCAGAACGAGAGAAAAAAGACTCACTGCTGATCGACTTCCTGTTCCACCAGACATCACAAGGTATTGCTGCATTTTGTAATTCTTTCGATTCCTTGGTAGCAATTTTATCTCTCGCAGACGAGTGTTTTTCTTAACAATCCGAATTCTTGTGCTTGATCATGCTCACTTAATTAGAATAAGTCATAATGTTATCAGGATTATGATGTGATGTGTTTACCATCACCTTGAGACCACTTTCTTGACTCAGGTTTGCTATTATGTTTAAACTTAACCGCAACTGAAATTCGGCGTCTGTTATTAGACCCATATCCAAATGCCTGAGGATCAGCAAATATTCAATCAGTATGTTTAAGTCCAGGTTTGAAACTAGCCTGATTTTCTCACATTTACCGTCTGCGAGTCCCAGTTAAGTTTTGAGCGATTATCGATGCTATCCTCTTGGATCACAATATTAGCCAGACTAATTCTTCTGTGATTATTATTGGAATATTTGTCCCTACAAACGGACATTCAGTGGTTGCGATCACAAGATACTGTAAATTTTTACAGAACCCAAAGAGAATTTCAAATTTAAATATGTAGGTTTTCGTATTGCAGGTATTCTGTTGAACTGAGTAGTTTAATTTCCAATGATCGAAAAT